ATGACAGAGACAATGAGTGCATCTTCTTTTCAATATAGAAGCCATTTTACCCTCTGTTTTATCACACTTGACATTTTGTTGTTTGTGCGCTCAAAACACGACCAGATTTTTCCAAGTTCCAACGATAATACCCCCACTCGACACCCCCTCCCCCCCATAGGTGCCTTTGCGGCCGCCGCGTGTGGAAACAAGTCGCGACACGCGTCATACGCGTCACGAGTGGGGAACTTTGGAAATGCCGCGCGTCATTGACTGATTGTATAGCCGCGATACACCCTCCGCCCCGCGTCAGTCGTCGACGGTGACAGAACTGCTTTTCGACAAGTGTATTTTAAAAATACCAAAAAATTTAAATGTGAAACTTACTCATCGATTCGCAGTTGTTGCTTGAGTATGGCATCACGTAGAATGTATTCTCTCAGCAATGCCGGATCAAACTCGTTCAGAGAAGAAGGCGATGTCGGCGGCGGGAAAATATAGGGCGGCGATTTGAAACGAACTTCGGAAGGCGTTGGTGACGACACCTTAAGAGCTGCTATATGAGAGAAAACTCGTACATCCGGTCAAATGAACGTCTGGAAAAGCGTCTTTTCACAGTGCCTTAATTTATGTGACAAGCGCAGGAGGTCTAAGCGATGAAGCACTCCGGCTTTCGGAAGGCTTTCTGTTAAGACTGATTTACGTCCCAACAGTTCGTATGACGTCTAGCGGAAATCTGATTTTTTGGCTCGGAAAATGCCACAAGAATTCGGTAGCTTAGTCCTTATAAGGGGCTAATTGGATTGGTATAGTTGGAGTGAGGTTCGAATTCGCGCGATCTGCCAAGCCTCCCATCCCTTCATATCCGAATAAACCGGAATCGGTTTATCAGTATAGAAACAGCAGCTTGAACGGAGGCGTCTTCCACGGATTTTTGGCAAAGCTCCACACCTTTCAGTGGAAATCTAGTGTAGGATAATTTAATACTGACGTCTATACAGCTCATACAAACTCTAATCAAAATTGCCACAACGAAGTTTCTTCTAGCTACCACTAACTTCCACTAAACCACAAGAAAACGAAGATACCATTGAGTTAGACAGAATTTTGAGGGATTAATTTCACAACATGACCAGCATGGCTTTCATCTCATATCATCGAAAAAGAGGGAGCTCCATGACAGTATGACAAAGCACGCACCTGTATAAGAGGAGTGGGTGGTCGCAGTGGCAGCGGCATTTCTGAGGTGATCGCCGCAATTCGGAGGGCGGATTGACCTCGAGGCCACGAGATTATCCCAAAATCGCAAGGAACCTAAATCGGTCATAAGTTTCACATCGAAATCGGAAAATTAGTGCAGTTTCAAAAATCTTCCGTTCAGTTCAGATGCAATGCACTATGTAAGTATTAGATAGTACTGACTCCAGTAATTTCGATGACTGTACATTGGGACTCCACCGCCTTGTTAGTGTTCAGAAGTTGCGGACCAAACACGTGATTTCTAAAAAGCTACAATTGGGTACCAACAGCACCTACAAGAGGTTGCTTTCTAACTTTTCGGAAACAAACTGGTCATTCCTGGAGGATTTCCCCACTTCCTACTCCACTTCTTTCCACAGGAAAACACCATGCTTCACAGGTTTCCTATTTCGCATGTTTTTCTTGAAAAAAATCAGTTCCTGATTTCTGCCAATCACTGCGGCCTAGATACAGGGATGTTGTACCCCTACCCACCGGTTACAGGGCTGTTGTCAACCAAAATTTCTCTGGCTTAGAGAATCAGACGGAGAAACGGTTTCTGCTTGCTGCGTCCACCAGCGGAAGGAGGACGTGCCCATTTGTTGCCCGTACTCTGAAATTGAAGTGTGAATGTCCTGAAACTTGAAAAATGTTGTTACTGCCTGATCATTTCAAACACTGTGGAAGAGTGAAGGCCTGAACTCTGCTACGGTCTTTGTGGCACTGCGAAAATCCGTGATTTTTTGCTATTCGCTCCTTCTCCTTCGTATGAGTAACCCTGCGATCACAACATTGTTTGAAGATCTGCAGCAACAATGGACCGCTCTAAACCCAACAAGTTGTAGTGTACGCTAAACGTTATATCAAAGAGTATCAGTATGGCAGTTAGCAATGAGGGATGGCCAGCTCTTCCGCCTGCGCTCTACCCTCTCGGGTGTGATAAGTCTGTTGAAGAGGACGCAGAGAAAACGACAAAACGCTGAGTCACTCGGCACGCGGTGACAGTGGTCCTGCAATCCCTATCCACCGCCCCAAGCCCTTGTTCAAGGCCTTTTTTCGATGTATCGTATGTGTAGCGGGTGTGCTAGGGACGTCGTACAACACGAGTGATGGGTTGAAACCTAAATGTCCTGTTGGTATGCAGTGGCAAGGAGACAGACACTCGAATCGCTTATATGTAATCGATTCGCCGCACGCGGCCGTCACAGACTAGTTGCCTCATTATTGCAGTTAGGCGTTCTTCATACAGCGCAATCGATATGCGACTATTATTTTTGGCATGATTCTACTATTACTTCTTCCGCTCGTGTACTCCTTACTCGCAATGCTGCTTCTGTTTCATCCTGCTACATTCCTTCGTGCGCGATGTCGCTCTCGCTGCGAAGCGACCATTTTGATTCAACTGCACCACACCCCAGTTGCAGACCCCTGTCATGGGTAGAAGTAAATGCAACCGTCAACTACCGAAAAGCTCGTGATCGCAGCTCTAAGTGTTTGACAAATTATTTGGAAATTTTCAGTGTAAAGGTGACTGAGGCGGGGATTTCTGGCGAAATAGAGCCTTCTTGGGAGCTTCGGATTGTTTGCCTCTCAGATTCTGCTTTACAGGCCACTTCACCAACAATTCAACTGAGGTATCCATGAACTTTTACACGTGTTTGCCTATGTGTTTGAGGTTAATATTAATACACATGTTATAGGTGTCCAAGACACTCCATTGATTTGGGAGAAGACTTCACACGACAGAGGTCCCAGGTGTTGCAGAACATGTTCATCACATCGAGAACGGTCAGCCTCCGCTTTTCATCAAATAATACCTAGACAGGAATCGAATGCAACTTTCGAAAGATACACCGCTTAATTTCCAACTCCTACTCTAATTTGTGAGATCATGTCCACTGCAGAGCGTCGTCCACCTCTTCGTAGGTCAAAGAGCTCAACTAACTTGAGATTCTGACAACCCTTTACCTGAAGAATTTCACCTGGTTCCACACCTTTAAAAAGCTATTGCTTTTTTGAAAATCAGTCTGAATTCCACTGCAAGAGTTTCGATATCTTACAATAACAACGTAAGAAACTTCATTCAGAACCCGTAAAAACAGCAGTAATGTTTAGTAACACCCTGAATAGGCTGTTAGATTGAAGCGCAAGATCCAATAGAAAGAGCAGACAGCGAGAAGCTTCTGACATGGAAGTTGTTCCAACAAAAAAATCAACAACAGTAACAATAAGTAAACAAGCTCTTTGAATTAAACAACGGTTAACAGCTGAAACCTAATCCTCGAATGGACAAACTACGTAACATTGGATACGGTTTCCAGTCCATTTCCAACAACAATAGAACCAGACCTGCAATACAATGCAGGAGATAGGAATTGATTGATTTTCGCAGTTGCACTCCCCCGCCTCTACAGCGCACTGATTTCGTAGTAAATGGTGGTGTTGCGGTGCAATTCTAGGAGCCAGACTCAACCCGAGTACGGCCTAGGTCCCTCTGGGGTCAGCTGAGGTGGCAATGGGGACTTGTCTCAGAAAAAAAGAGCATTAACCACCTGACAGCCAGATGGCTTCCAAAAACAACTTCCAAAAAATCTTCCAATTGGTTCGTTACAACCGTACATGCCATAAATTCGTATGTGCTTTTTGACTAACAGCTCATAGGACCATACCGTAGATTAAAAAGTACGTCAACAAAACTACATTGTACGAGATAAATCGATTACTTTCGAGTAACATTATGCAGTAATGACAATACAACTTACTTCGTTTCTAGAAGTGATGAAGGATCACGCACACCAAGGGGAACAGCGTGAAGAAAACTTGCCTAAACACAAACTTCAAACAAAAGTAAGTGAATCGCAGTAAGGCGAGACCCACCTGCTTCGTGTTGAGATCAATGAAATAAGCTGCAAAACGGCAGTCAAGAGCGACTGACAACACTCGAAGGTCTTTGTCGTTCAACAGAAGGGCAACTCCTGAACGATATAACTAAGCAGTTAAAAATTGTTGATACTTTTCGACGAAAAAGGGGCGGATATATTCTGATTACGACCATTTCGTTGCTTCAAACGTGTCACTGTCACAGTTACTTACCAGTTATAGTGGCACTATGATAAGTCAAGGTAGCCAGCTTTTTCAGAGTGGCACCATGGATAGCGAATACGGTCACTGTCCCTGATTCGGATCCAACTGCTAGCCATCTTTGGTTGCCTTCACACAAAAAAGCGAGTGCGGAAAGACCACAGCGCTCCACAAACATCTAAACAATGCCTGCGGTACCGAATTACACCGACCTTGCTGAAGAAAAAAAGGGAGAAGGCTACCAACCGTACAGGCAGATTCAGGCTTCTCAGCCGACTTCCAAAGGAACAGATTCCCCGAAGTAGATGCCGCACAAAGATAGACAGTGCCGTCAATATCTGTCCACGTGGCAACCTATAAGGACACTGTAAAGAAACCCTTGCTGTAAAGAAAATTCAAAAATGGCGCGCTCTTACCTTACTGAAGATGGATAAATTTGGACTTGCAAGTACCGGATATCTGATTTCTTTTTCAAGACGTACACCACGATCTTCATCGACATACAGATCTAACCATCTGAAACATCTCCGTTGACACACGCTCAATGCAGTTCATCAGTGGCCGCTTTCATAGACCGCCGGCCAGCCCGCGAGCGCGCGCGCCGGCCGGCGGACTATGAAAGCAGCCACTGTGTTCTTGGAAGCGTTAGAAACCAGCCAGCTAACAATCACGTGAGCACCTTAGGCCTAGTGTGGCCAGCGGTCAAATAGTGAAAAAGAGAAACAAATTCGTGCTCACTCGATCTTTCCGTCGGCATAGCATACAGCGGATAAACACTGGTTATTTGATACCTAAAATGTAACATTGGGATTGATCCGAAGCTACCCATATCTGAAAGTCGCTCAGCTAGGCCTACAATCCTACCAGTATTGGGCTGTTGGACTACAATACTTCCAAAAAAGTAATAAACCTGAGTAACGTCAAAGTCCACGACTCGAGCAGAACTCTCGCTACGCTGATATAGGGCGGAGCGAACAGAATATGAGTTCCCATCCTCGAGCGCTGAAATGCTGGGCCCAAAAATCTACCAAGTCAAGAAATGATCGAAAACTGATGGTTGAACAATAACTCAACAGGAACGGAACTGTTATACCTTCGGTTCCAACCATCCATGCCGTAACTGTTCCCTTTTCTCCACCAACCATAACCACACATCCACCAAATGACAATGACGACGAACGAACACAAGTGGGAGCTGATGGATTGTATAGGGACAGAAGGGTAGACCACGCTGAAATCGGTAGGTATCCTATTTGGCTTCACCGTATGCGAAGGAAAAACAATCTAACCGCCTGATTTCCATTGTATTTGACTGAATCGAATAAAATAATCAGCTCCAATAGTAATTGCACGTATGGTTTCATCGCTTTCGTCCAGTAGGCAGACACCAACCACTTGTGTTCGATGGACACAATGCTCGAGGAAAGGAAGTCGCTTCAGATACAAATCAATGGAGACAATCGACTGAAATGATATCGATTATGGTCTGTGCTGGCGATAGCCGCGGTGAAGTTGATTTCGAAACGGCGCATATCGATTGGCCCGTAAAGACGCGCAACTATCGCGCATTCGAGTTTGATCTCAATTAAATGAAAGTGATGGCTGCAGCATGGAGACCACAGGAAAACACTACTCGAAAATTAAAATAAGTAAGGAGTTTTTCTGAATAGTAACTCACCCCTTTTCGAAGAAAATCAAATGTAGCACGTTGCAGTCTGACTTCTCCTTCTCTCAGTACATCATAGTTATCACACAAGGTGAAATACCATTGCCGGTGGATACCGCCACATGGTACCGTACACAAGGTGTCACCATTTCGGACATCAACGACATAGAAGTTCCTCTGAAGGAAAACCAAAAGTGACTCGCGAAAATACCAANACTTTAACTACTCCAATTTATTTTTTAGCTTTCGAAATTCAAGAACTCAATCAATTGCAGGCATTACGGTCCATATAGGTTAAACTCTTTATGATTGAAGACCAACCGCATGGAAGCCAAAAATGAACTTGTTGTCTGGTGAGAATGAGCATGGGGTAAAGCCTCGTAACCACGGGCAGGCAGGCCCAGCAGAAATAACCTCTACGTTCGAACTTGCATCTGAATTCAATATAAAGTTCAGAGCGGTATTGAGGTAAAGAGCGTTTGAATTTTTAGGGCTGTTCACCAACTCACCATATTTGCACAGCACCGAAACTCCATTGCTTCCTAGAAGGAAAATATTCCCGTTGTAGTTTCTCACTTGATTGATCGCCTTAGCTTCAAAACATGCGTTTAGCTGAAAATACCGGCCGATCGAGGGCAAAGTACAGACATCATGGGCAATTTACTCAGTAAAACTCTAAGTAAGCAAAGCGGAAGAAACAGGACAGGTTACAAAATTTACAAGCAAGTTTCCAGGGATTGTAAATCTGGGCCAAGCGCCTTGCCACGCATTTTCGCGCCAAATAGAAGAAAGTCAATACCGTGCAGTTGTAGGGCAAATCTGTGCAGCATGCGGCCCAACGAAAAAATCGTGCATCTTTTTTTTTGAAAATTAATACTGTATAGTTAAAGTTTACCTTTCGTAAGCTGGTCATCGACACATCGGTAGAATTGGCCGCGAATTCAGCAAAAAACACGTGGCCGCACACTGTCCCCAACATGATGAATATAGACTGCTCCATCATCATCAAGGTCATCGACGTTATTTTAATATGCGATTTCATTCCATAACTTAGTAGTATTGCAGAAAAATCAAGTGTCGCCACGGTTTTTTGGTTGACGACGTCCAACAATACCTGTAAGTTTTTTTTTNATTTCATTCCATAACTTAGTAGTATTGCAGAAAAATCAAGTGTCGCCACGGTTTTTTGGTTGACGACGTCCAACAATACCTGTAAGTTTTTTTTCCTTACAGATAAAGGGAACCGTTTCTCAAATGCCTCTGGAAGGGAATTTACCCCGGTACGATTAGTCTGGTATATGAGGGCGAAATTCTCGCATATCGTTACGGAGAGTATATGGGAGCCAAATTCACACTTGGACCACACGCAACCTGAAATTTTTTGTGAGAACAATTTGTGATTACTTTTAAATCAACTCAATTTCTACAGAGCACTAGGCCAGTATAGAAGGTTCGTTTCGCGCGCCCTTCCAAACTATGTCACCCTGCCTACTTCGCGCGCGGCGCAGCCCACTGCAATCTCGGAATGACGTTTCAGTACCATTCAGTGTCAGAGGAGCGAACGATTTGCATCAGTCCGAGTTATCTTCCCTGAGGCTGCATTGCCGTGGACCAAGCGTCAATCGTATGCCCCACTGTCAACTGCGACATCTGTCAAAAATCGCGGGCTGACGCGCCGCGCGCTACTGCTGCGGCGTGACCTAGCTCAGACGGACGCGCGCAACGAAGCGCACCCCTAGGTCAGGAAGAGCTACTTTCTCAGTGTCACCTAATGTCTCTAATAAGAACAATGTGTAATCTACTAGGATTTGAGTGTACGCTTAGTGCTGGAAGCGCGTGCATGAACTGCTCGCAACATTTATACTTTTGGAACCCCAGCAAGCGGTATTACGATAGCGCCTCCTCACGCCCCCACGAAGGCGTCTCCTGACACCCTGACGAGCCTTTGCCGAGGAAGGACATGGGCGAGCCATTTGAAGGGACATAAATCAAGGGTCCAGCCGAACGTGCACTCAAGTTAGCAAAAGTCATGAAACTACTTTTTTCTGTGCATTTCTTATGAAGCTCTCTGTGTTTTTAGTGACTACGCAGTTGTAAGGGCCACTCGTTTTCGCGTTCTTGTCTGAGCCCTCTCAGTGAGATAGTATCCTAGTGCTCAATTTCTCTTCTACTCCTATTTTTCATATGAAGTAATCATTTTGATCATTGCAGTGGCTCTCAACCCTCTTAAGCTTTAACTTTATCTCTACGGTTAGGAATCGGGTCTGAGCATCTCTACAAACCCACAGGGCTGACGCCCCATCTTCCTCTTTCTCTAGCGACCAGCGTTAGAGACGCAGAGCACAATGGCATGGCTTACTCTAATTTCATCGTCTCCCTATTTTTTCTTGAATATTTGCTCTTAAGCTTTCGCAAAAACATCTTGTCTTTCTGTATTAAGTTATATCGTTTTACCTACGTTCATCAATGAAGAAGTGACAGAACTTGTCGCCAATGTACGCGAGAATAATAGGACCAGTAGCGTAAAGCGGACTTCTCGCAAGTGATCTGATGCCCATTTGAAACTCATCGCTGAAATTTTGAGGGTTTCAGTACGACTTTGATCATTTGATGACGGAATCCGAAAAAACTACGCTTACCAGCTGTTTTCCTGTAGGCATTGAATTTTATCACGCATCCTAGCAAATGCACGAAGTTCCGAAATGGATGTGCAGCGGACTTCAAAGTCTTCAACTAGCTCTTTAACGGGTACAATGGCAAGTGCACCACTTCCCGAGGCGATGCACTGTAAGTAGCTCGGAATTCAAACGGTCAAGACACATTGGCAAAATGTAGATATGACGCGTGCGTTGGCGAAGCGGCTGGTATTTGGAAACGACGCGGTTCAGCGCACCTTGCTGCAGCGCGCTGCGGAAGCAGCAGCACCCGACGGAATGAGCTACAAATAGTCAAACCAGTCGCGCTGCAACCGTATGCACCATATCCTCAAATGCAACCATTTTTTGATTGCCTTGGCATTTATAAGGTGAACGATTACCAGTTTTTCGTCTACCACACGGATTGCTCGTATTGAACCGGCTTGAACTTCTTTTTGGTACAACATTTTGAGGCAGTCATCTTGCACGATCCATTTACAAACGATCTGAATCGTTGCGGGTTTGTATTCACGAGTGTGTCTACACTTTCTTTTTTTTTTAATTCGAAAGCATTCACCTATTTGTATGATTGATTTTCTATCAGTAATGCTCATGTTGCATAGGATATTGATCAGGATGGCGGCTTAATCATTAGTTAATACACCCGCTCACCTACTATATTGGATTTGAGATAAAAATTAAGTCGGAAAGGTAACTCGTTTCTGCCCACCTCGTCTGCACTCTCCCGATGAGACTGTATGCTTATGTCCAATTCATCTTTCATTCAAACTTTTGGCATGAAGTCAGCATTTCATTCATTCAGGTGTTTCCTAATTTCTTGAGCTTGCGACAAAAATTCCAACCCTTGGTTCAGAACCGTTTCTGAGCACTACTACAGGCCCGCAAAGCCGACGCCTTATCCTTCTCTGACCTTAGTGGCGTCAGAGACGCAGAGCACAAAGAAATATCCCACTCCGACGCGAATGGCCAAGAAGCTCTGAACCGCGGTGGACGTGACGCCCTACACGCCGCGCGTCCACTCGTGAGCTCACAATCACGCGAGCGACTCCGCGCAGTCTGGCGTGCCAGTTTTTAGGTATACTCACCGTTCTTTTTCTTTTCTGCCTTCATGCTGCGTATCCTGCTCCTATTTTTGTCTTCTCAAGCACAAACTAATCTCCTATATTCGCGTACAACTTATAAAGTCTCTTAACAGATTTTGAAATTTCCTGAGTGTTGATGGCTATGATTTTTTCTTAGTTCTTCGGTAGTCTCTTTCAGATCCTTTCCGAATTCATTTTTCACTTTTTTTNTTTCGTGGATACCATAAGACTTGAGAATTTCTGAAACAACTTGCTTGACACCAGCTGAATCCGTTGGCACGGAGTCCAGAATCTTCGCATCCCAAACACAGAGGCAGCGATCATCCGCGATGGAGTACAGTCTATTTTTGCACAGATCAAGCCCAAAAATCATTCCCTGAGGTATACGGTGGGAAATTATCGCTATGAAGTCACATAGTATTAAACTAACTCGATGGCCTTCGAACTTGGCTCGAATAAGTGGGCCAGTAGATGGAACTGTCACCAAGATTTCACCATCCATGGTACCAGCGATAACGATAAGATCATCCCAAGAAGAGCCAACAAGGATAGAGCTCAGACTGTAACTTTAGATAAGGTTCTCCGGTTTTCATCTGAGGGCAACGTATCTGGTACCACCAAATCGAGGAAGAATTGTGGATAGCCAAAAATTAAGGTGTTGGTCATACATCAATGCAAATCGTTCTGTTCGCACATGCTGTTTCATGGTGAGTTTCAATGGTGATACTTCGTAGTCGTACAGTGCCACAGAGTAGGTCCCAAACAACAGTGCTACCTATAAAAAATCATCACATTTTTTGGGAAATAATATGGATGAGCCAACAGCTACCTGCTGAGTTTCATCGAAAACCGTCACGTCAAGGGGATGATCGTCGAAATAGACCGATACCGGAACATCACCTTTTCGGTTTGTATTGAAGAGCTGTGCGTCCGAAACATATGTCATCGATCGTTCACCGAGTACGAGGACTCCTCCTGAATCGTCAAATAGTAACATTCGTTCGAGTTCTGCAGTCTTTGACTTCTTTTCTATGACTATGTCAAAGCGCAGGAGATTACAATTGTCAATAACTCGCGCTTCTTCAGTTGTATTTATACTAACGTCGCAGGCGTCAGCGTTTGTCGTCCATTGCTATCCCGCTGTGGCAGGTTCAGTATTTGTACATTCAAACAGATTTTTGCCGTGGAATTAAATGTTTTCTGTGAAATCCTGTGCGGAATGCGTCTTATTCCACCGTAAGGTCCCTGTACGAACCGGGATTCCGTACTAAATTTTCGCTCTTGTCATTTGACATGCGTTCAAAAATCGATCAATGCAACGTGCAGCGATGAGTCATCCACCTGGGGGATGTCGATTGACTGCCATTGCTAGCGTGGTGGGAGACGGGCAGTAGGTTCGGTTCCGTATAGTCAATTCGCCGCACGCGGCAGTCACTGACCATTTGCCTCTTTTTGCAATTCTAGCGTTCCTCATACAGCTCAGTCACTATGTGATTATTATTTTTGACATGATTCTAATGTAAGTTTCGTTCCTGCATTTCTTACTTGCTGCTGCATCCTGCTACATTCCTTCGCGCGCGGCATCCTTGCCGCGACGCGACATTTCCAACTCTACTGCTCCACACCCTCTGAAATACCTATTTTCACGTATTCGCAGGCATCAGCAGAGGGTTTCGCTCGTGTACTTGCCAATCTCACGAACTATATCAGAACTGTTACATCATTTATTACAAGTTACTTTACTTGGTACAACTTTAAATGACTTTTTCTCAAGAGCGATAGTTTTTCAGAAAGCTAACCTTTGCAGTTGCGAATCCGATGAACATCTTCGCCAGGTAAGAGCCTGATAGAAGTTTTATTTTGTGTTGTAGTAAGATTGTATATTTCCAGGCAAGGACCATGGCCTAAAATTCGCAGCCACTGTAGAAGATTTATGTGCCTCATTAGGGTAAATTTCTATCCTATTGAAACTTTTTTCCGGTTTGTTCATTAAACCCCAAAAGCACTTTATAAACTACCTTTCTGTTTCATGAAAAACTTATCAAATTTGATAACTACAAGTATCCAGAATGTTTCTATTTTTTTGCATCCCCTCCGGTAGAATTCAGCGATAAATAAGCCTGCCAAGCTATTGAATCGATTTCGCATATAAATTTTTATTGACCTCATTAACCTTGTTGTACTATCAACAACGGACTAATATTAATATTCAATAGTAAATATAGTATTTAGCCAGCAATATGTGCGATCAAACCATAAGTACTACTAGTATCAAACTAAGGGTAACAAAAGTTTTGTCGCTGACGACCTTATTACCCCTTCTTGTTGAAGAGTCTTCTTTCCCCATTTCCCGGAGGAGAGACTTCAACCTTATCAATAAATGTTAAGTATCACATTTCAGAACTAAGTTCCCTGTCTTCCTGCTAAGTAAATCCTCTACGAAACGCAGGGGGATGGGTTTTCATTGGAATGATCAAAATATGTTGGCCTCACCACAAAGGAGGTATCCATTTCGCTCTTCCATAGTCAAACGGCGGCAAATCGACATTTTCGGTTCGTTGGGGAGCATAATTGACTAAATAAAAATCTGACTTTTATTCTGTTACTAATTTTTACAGGTGTGTAAGAGGTACGCGACCTCGAAACGGTCTCTGAACAGTAATGAACACAGAAACAGGAAAACACCATTTTATTTGGAAAGAAAATCAGGAACCATAAAACTCGACATAGAAACTTCATAAAATGTGGAAGAATAGTTAAACAACGTTATACAACATACGATTATTGTAAACAGAGCACATCGTTTAACAAATATAATAGACACACGACAAATATCAGCAAGTACTCTAACACACATCAGAATACGACGGAGAAAAAAAAACCACTCACTAGAGCACCCATTCTACAACTAATAACTTACTCTTCAAGTATTACAACATTACAGGAACAATTTAAAAAACACGACTGAACCAAAGATACAATAGAAAAGAAAAGGAGCCACTTTCTTTGCAAAACTATACTACTTATCGTGATAACTCGCTCACTTGTTTTCACAAAAATGTGAACCATGAAATCTATCAGAATTGATGAACATGCGATTTTCATGCAAATACGTATGAAACGATAAAATCGACGGCTTGTGATAAATACGTCCAAGTCACAAAAGTACCCCGAAAATGGACAGAACACGCATTATGCGCAACAGAGAGCGCAAACGACATGAGTACGGGAAGCGATGGATGGGGCGATGATAGGAAAACTTTTTTTTTCACAGCATGAAATGTTTTGTGACACAAGATGATGGGGAGACGACAGATGAAGTGCCGTTTAAAACCGGGTCAGAATGAACATGAATGAATTCAATCTTAACCTATTCGACGAGTTAACCCTGGGCCAACGTCTTAGACGAAAAGGTCGTAGTGTTAGCGGATCAATGATGTGAGATATGATTTGTTAGACAACAATCAATAGCAAAGACCTACGTCAAGCGAATGATTCAAATCAGAAGATGAGAACAGAAATAGAAAAATGATTAACGATGTTAAGTTCAACGCATAAATTCCTAACAGAACCACTTTTGAGAAATAGTAATTTAACAAATTTCCAACATGATACTTCGTTACTCTGATTTTATGAGAACTCGTCCCCGTAACACTCTATTATCCAATTTTTCAGAAAAGCCGAAAACGCCTTTTTCGCCGAACAATCGATCTCACTGGGACGAGAAACGTGCCTGCCCATCACAATAAGGAACAGAAACATTGATGGGACTTTCATTCTCAGGTGCGCTCTTTCATCACACATTTTGGTTCTTTCAGCAAAATAGTCGACATCTTTATATAAGAGTCCCTTTTTATTAAATATGCCTGTTTCCCGGTCCCCACATTGGTTGCACTGGTTCATTCGCACCGCTTGATGTTGTTAGCCGGCGTCCTTCAGAAGCTTGTACAAATGACAGGGTCGCATTAGGGCATCTAGTTCGCTCCTGGGAAGTAATCGTACGGTTATTGCCAAGGCAAAAATTAACCGGACGATACGGTATGGGGTAGCTAAACACTATATATAGGATCCTGAAAGCATTCAACTGCCAAACATAAGCACAGCGATCGAGCTGATCAGCCCCAAAAACATTCTTACATTTGCCTAGCATAAGCTGCTCGTAGCAAGAGTAATTCAGTAATCGAGGACGAGTTCTCTTGATGCCTCAAAATTCTACGCAAATTCACAATCATTACGACATAACCAAACCTTGGCATTTAAATTAACCCAACCAATTAACAGAACCATTTGGTTAACATGCCGATAGTTAGCGAATGGTATGGCACTTTTGCACATTAATGTCGCCTGAGTAAAACGATTCAGAACTCGTAGAATTCGAATGGGGCCGTTGTCATATGCGATAACCCATTTTGCAAAATTGCAATTTTTTGGAAAAGATTCGCTCTTGTTCGGAACAAATCCCTAGGAGCTACAAAATGCTCGCAACAAGCTACTAGACGCAACAGACAAAGCGGCTAACCCGTTCACCTTAGTGAACGCCTTTTGGAACGCGGATCAATAACATTTATCAACTTCGTAACACATCAAATCAGCACGCGGAACACTTCGCATTCAAAATGAAAACTCAAAATCAAAGAACCGAATGGGTGCCTCTACAACGTTGAAACAGAAATTAAAAAGAAACAAAAACGTCGAAACAGTGTTACCCGCCGAAAAGATAACAAGTCACAGTCACATAAACATAAAACAGACTCGTCATATTTCTGACGGGTTGTTTCGAGATCTAATTCTTCTTTAAAAATGCATCCCTCTATTTCACCCACGTTAAAACTGCTGCTGTTGGGATTGGAACTGTCCCGTGGCGGGAAAATTCTGTGTTTGTGCACCTGAATAGCCGGAGTACTGGGACGTGGCGTTTCCTGTAGATGTAGCCGGATAAGAAGCATTTGAAAATGTGTTCTGCGCCGGAGTCGTACCCGGTGGTGGTGGATTTGCCGACGACTGGGCTGCGCGTGCGTTCTGCTTCATTTGGGCTTCAATCAGGGCTGCTTGATCATGTAGTCCCATAGATCTGCAAGAGTCATTTGGAAATGAAACCGTTCTTCGGGTCATCCCTCTTTGCCATTACGGCGCATGTCGCTTGTGATATAACCATTTCGGGGCCACAAACAGTATGTGACAGAAACATGCCACAATTATCTGTCCCAGAACCTAGAGAGCTACATCGCGAAGCTCGACTCAACTATCTGCTTAAGAGACCCGACCCAAATTTTGAAAGGTGCCATACTGCATTATTAATAACAGAGATTTCCAACATCGAATATTCGATTGCACAGAAATAATAGCCGCTCTCCATAACCAATGCGCAAGTTACTCACCTGTAGTACTCGGCCCATTGAGCAGAATAATCCGGTTGACCAGTTTGCGGGTTGATGGTTGGACCAGTCGAAGTTGTACTCGAACTTTGAGAAGCGCTAGCTGGTTGCGCTCCAGATTGAGGCACATACGTATAACTCTGCATATTACCATAAGAATTTTGCGCATTAGCTGCGCCACCAGTATAGTACTGTCCAGCGGCCTGATTCGCCCATCCATTTCCAGCATCGGGTTGTTGGGCTACAACAATCACAATATCAAAAGAATAATAATTCACAAAAGTCTGCACATTAGTACTGCTACATACCGTATGTGTTATTCCATAGGCTAGCGCCGTACTGACCGTTGTATTGCGACACACTATAGTTGCTACCATTAGGGGCACCGGCTCCAGTGAACGGAGGCACAGGGGTGCCTGGAGCAATGTCACCAACCTGAAACACCGTGAAACGTCTTCCAAAACAATATTTCCAACAAAGTTAAGCCGAAGCGCAAAACATCAGCTGACAATCAAAATCGCACACGTCCGAATTCAAGCGCACTATCGGCATGGGTCAACCACGTGGGTTAGATTAGCTATTATATACACTGTCAATCCCATCAACTGACAATGCGCTTGGAATTGATTTAAAAAACGCCAATGAACTCATACATGTCCGACTAGATCTACACATGCGGGTTAATAGTAACACCAAAGCAAATACACATTAATCAAACGATTACACAGTTAATAATTAAACGCGAAATCAACACGTCAACTCGTTCCTAGCTACCCATACGGATTGATACTAAATACCATAATAATTATTTGTACAAGATGTATGCACACAGTTTACTTGATCTATGCAATGCAATGTATTCACAACAAATGCACAAACAACTATGTATGTATCTAATTACATCTATCCGCATCTCAACTACTGTCTAAATACTATCACAGCACAATACATGCCCTAGAGCAGTATTTTGGCAAAGGCTGCGAACTCTCCTTTTAAACTAATCCGTTATAGGGTGTGCGTCGCTATCATACTCATTACCTCTATGGAATTGCTCTTACTGAAGTCGTACTCACGACTAAACTCACTACCGCGCCAGGCAAGTCAAATCTCAGTTTTATGCTCCAACATTTTGACTTTCCATGAAACCCTGCTACCTTCTTACGAATTTACTGGTTCTTTCGTGTTTTTGCTTCAAAGATACTGTGCCATAGTTCCGGCAAAAGATGAGCCTTTACTCATTTATGTACTCTGTCAGCAGCTTTTGGCATCCATTGCCTTCAATTCCCAAAAGACCAACACTTTTTGTTACTGCATTTCATTGCTTTTGACCATCTTGTCAGAAAGATTGCGAAGAATGATTCCGAATGTTGGGTGACGGACGAAGTTGAAAGCACATTTATTCTGCAGTCAATTCCTAGATTTAATACTACGCCCAAACCGGTCTCATTTCCCCTTTTTTTTTTGGTGCAGTGAAAAAAATGCCCTTGGTGGAAGTTACTTCTCGACTTCCAGGAAATTATGTCAAACGAAAAAATTTGATTATCCGACCATTTTCCAACGACTCTTACATACACACTATACATTTGTACCAGGAAACTTGTATAGATACGTTGGAGGAATGGGTTGAGACGAACCTCCATTCAGAGGGTTCTTCAGCAAAGGATTCACTTATTCCTACGCGATGAATGCTCGTTCTACTCCCATCAATTTGAACCAGCTTATGATGCGGAACTTTTGCACCTTCCCAATTCACTGTTTCAAATCTTCAACATTGTTTTGTCAGACGGTACTTGGTTGGAAAGTAGGAAAGTGGTAGACCGGTTCTAATTCGCGATGCACTTGAGCTCGTCGCGCTTCGATTTCCTCAATTCGCAGTCTGTACCAAAAAAGTGCCCACTATGATACCAAAAATCACAAGCTAAGCCAAGCTAAGATGAGAACCGAAAAGTCAGTAAGGTTAAAGCTTCAAAAAACAGAAGCGGTACAAAATATGGTTGCCACTTCAGGCGTCAACGTCCACTGTACGTTGCAATTGCACGTGAAGCCGCTGAGCGGCAAATTTTTTCCGCGACTCATAAGCTTAAGCGCCAGATCCCGGGAATGCCAACCGCTTCATCAATCACTCAATTGTCACACACTGCGAACGCAATAGCCTGTGATAGCAACCATACACTACCTTGATTCGAATAATGTGTTGTGCATGATGAACTTGATATGGAGTACCACGGATTATAAATACCTGCGAAAAAAGAAAAACAATTACAACGCGTCAATGTCAGTAAGGATCTTATGTTTAGAAAAACCTTTTCTTGGGGATTCGGTGGAGGATCGCGAGATAGCTCGCAGTGAGCGCCACTTTCAGCGTTGATCTGTAAATCATCAAATGTATTCATGAAATCTATTGGAATAGCGACGGCTAGTAATACAAACCTGCTTGATAGTCTCTCCTCCTTTACCTATAACGAGACCCGTCTTATTTGATGGGACATGCATATAGAAAGCCTGAAGTTGATGTGTCTATAAAAAGTTTCAATGAAAAGTTGGATGTTAGTTCGTCAAGTTTGAAATCCACTTCAATCATGGTGCATTCATGAAGAAAAAAAAAGTGATAGACAATTGCAACACAAAGCGAATGAAGCAAACAAATCGTCCACTGATACAAAGCAAAAAACAGTGCAGTTGCATAATATCAATAGGGAAATTCGATAAACGGCCAAAAAATCCGACGAAAACCACTAGCATCACGAATGTCAAACAATATATGTTTAACAGAAAGAAAAACAACCTAAACGTCGTTTAGTTATTTTTCCATTTTCCCCGTTTTCGGCTTCCGTTTGATCTTCTTCTGGCAGCTTCTTGTTAATACTGAAGAAGAATTTGAAGGGAAGAAACAAGGAATGATATTCTTGCATCTGCCAACATCAATTCCAAATTCACTGGGACGCCAAAATGAACACGTTTAACCCAGTCTTCTTACAGTTACTAAAAGTGGGTGCAGAGAAAAGACAAATTGTGCCAAAAGGTGCCTTACTGAAGCTGCATTCGGACATGGACAACACAAAGCAAAGCAAGCCATGACATGGACAACGGACACGGCGTAAAATCGTGCATAGCCATTAGTAAGGGGGTGCACATGCATACACATAAAGATGCCAAAACGAACCTCTGTTTGACCGGTCATCAGTGAGCCACTACAGCTTTTATGAACCAGTTCGGTGATGAGCTCAGTAGCTTTGTAGATCTGCTCTCTTGATCCCATAATGACTGCACATCGATCGGGAGATGTCGGATCATCTGAAAAAGTATTTGTGTTGACACAAAGATTCGGCTGACTTTCAACGTCAAACTCGATATCCAGTAGATCCAGGAATGCACTCAAACTGGGAAGGCTCTCACTGCCTCATATCATTTGTGTGTGTGTGTTTACAACTGAACGAATCAGGGTCTACTTTTTTCAGACGCGATGAGCACCTGCACTCTCCGTCCCGATAGCACCCACATTACAATGTGACAAGCAAAAGCAAAGTCGCCTACGCACCACGTCAAGGTCAGTCATTAAAATCGACACTTCATGCATATAAGAAGCCGTGCAAGCTACAAATGTCAATATATCTCCTTCTATTTCTTGTAAAATTGAAAGTAAGAACACACACTGCAAAGATTACAATACTTTGAAAGAACTATAGTCTATGGGTTACTTGTAAGATTAGTGGCAATAAACCAACGCCTTGCACTTATACGAAACGGCTTAGGCTAATGCTACTTCGAACTACGACCCACGAATTTTCTATTTCATTTTGGGCATTTTCTTGGTTCCGTTACTTGCGCAAAAAAGTTTCTTTCGCCACTGGGACATCTGGATGGAACTTCTAGACAAATCCCTGCTCTGAAATGTCCCTCCGATCCCCACCCCTACGTATTTAACACCGCGGACGACCAGCTCGCTTTGGCAGCCGCGCCGCGGCCGGTGCAACTCGGGTGCAACGTGTTCAACCAATTTCAAACATTCGTTTCCGCGCGCAAAATGCGCCAACATGCGCCCCTTCACGCTTTCAAAGTTCGTGTGGTGCTCGTAAAAAACGTTGAGTGCTAGTAATAGAACTTGTACTTGAACGTACACTTCGTTCATCGCACTATTAAGGCTACTTTTTTAACGTGGAACTTTGTAAGCGATTCAACCCGTGCAATACGCCGACTTCCACTGGTCGCCGGGGTATAGTTGCTATGCTTTAGGTTTGCATCATGCTTCCCTAGCAATAAGGAAGTTCATCGTTACAATTGACGCAAGCCTAAGTATATCACATCATTGGCCATTTCACTATCGAGAAAATAATCGCATTTATCATCACAGGCATCGGTGACTTTCCCAATCGATTTTCAACAAGTATACTTGTGAAACTACAAATATACTTTTCAAGTCTCGGGCTCTTTGACGAACTGGATCCGACACAACACTACTATCACAAGTTAGCTAGTAAAGAGAGAATCGACATACCATCAGCTTTGAACTGAATCTTCGTCCCCGTCTCCATAGCGAGCCGCTTTATGGTCTCTCCTCCTTTACCTATAATCATGCCGACACTAGCACGAGGGACCACCACCTGAAAGGTAACGTTGATTCAACAAAGAAAATATAAAAATCAGTCTCAGGTTTAATTTTAATTGCATCAGAATGTTAAAAGTTCTTGACGGTATTCTTACTTCTCCTTTTGCTGTGGCTTGCTCGGAATAAAGACGTGGTATAGTGCCATTATCCTCCCGAGAGTTGATCAAATCGGTAACAAGCCGTTTAGCTACCTCGACCTTAAATATTGTTGTTGACATTCGTGTACATTGCGATTGATTCATTTTTATTTCTTAGTATTTTTTGTTTTTGTTGTACCACACAAATGCACGTTCCTGTATAACTGCTGGTGCATATCCTCAAATTCAGTTATGAAAAAATGGCTGAAAAATATTTTTGTATAGCCATTTGTAATGTGTATAAGTAATTACTTTTTCTGGCTCTCCTGTAATGCGCAGTGGTTTTGACTGTCCAGTTACTTCTTGTGAATCTTGTATCATTACCATTTTACAACCTGCTTGTTCCTATAACACCAGAACAGAATAATGATGGTGTTTCAGTGAATATGTGTTTGACGCCTGATGGATTCAAAAGGTTTTCAAACCTGTAATTGTTTTATGGTTTCCCCTAATTTTCCTATTACAAGACCACATTTCGTAGCTGGTATAGTCATTTCCACTGTTATGGCACGGCCATCGGTGGGGGTGAAGTTTTGAGTCGTAGGACGTGACGCTGCTCTGGTGATGACATCGGTTATCATTTGTTTGGCTCTTTCCACCGATATCTGGAAGAACAATCAACGAGGACATACTCAAGGTACGGTTAACTGTACTATTGTGTTGTTATGATAGCTGCTATCCTAAAGTGATGAGTTACCTAGAGTATCGCCTAATTATGTCATTTAGGGGCCTCGGTGTGACCCTAAACGTTCCCCAACCGTCATTGATCGCAGCCTCATTAAGTGAGATTAGAAGAATGTCGCCGATATACTTCGTACCCAAAAAAGTTTCGAAGCACGCTAAGCAAAAAAGCGGGATTTAAGATTAGCTAGCCTAGTCCATTCCTGAGGAAGTTCCTCCTACCACACACAAAAACCACCTTTCACATATCCCCCCATATTGTTGTCATTCACTTGGATTAGCCGTGACATTATGACAAATATACCTTGCTTCCTTGCAGTGTGCATTGGCGAACGCCAGTGCTGGGGTCACCATCCGGGCTCATTTGTACTCGACATCCCGTCGTGCTTTGGATATTTTGTATTTCTGAGCCGCCTCTACCGATAACTGAAGCAGTGATTATTATCCACATGAGGTCCGCAATTTTGCGTTCACATGTCCACGGGGTGTACACAACCCACCTAGGCCTACAGTATTCTCTGGGACACTGATGATTTCGACGACAGTCTCGGCTGCACTAGCAACTGTCGGAATCATTGAGGTTGGCGCTCCGAATCCCATCTGTTGTACCATCCCGCTTCCATCCATGGCACCTTCGATGTTGCTCCTTTTCACGGGATTCGCTGAAAATGCTAAACCACGTTATCTTCGGTTATGGCGTAAATTATTACATTCAATTAATTTTAGAGGTCTGGAAAGGACATAAAATTGAAAACAATGAACATCACTATTATTCGAACAAAATAATCAGCACGAAAATTGAACCAGGCGACGCACGCTCAGAGTCTTCAGGATAGCAGCGCTTCAGCGTTGGATTTGTAGTAGTGTCGGCACCAGAATGCTAAACAACATTAGAAATCGTGTCAACAGAGGGTTCTAGTTTTTTTAGTCTTTTTTTACGAACCAATAATAAAAAATATCATCAATAATATTAATGCATGAAGGAAAATTACAATTAAGCAATTAATTTCTTCAATACTACAGCCACCAATTGTGAGATTTCTCAGATACAAAACCGCGCGCAATTTCGTGTATAAAGACCAACAAAGACCACTCAAATCATACTGCAAAGGTTGATGACGTGCGGGGCAGCGTCACCCCAATTCAATCGAAGTTCTCACGAACAAAAATTGAAACGCAAAAAAACTGGCATGGCAAAACTGTTGAAATTCATCACCACTAACATGAATTGCGTACAAAAGAGAGGTAGGCTGTTACGGCAAAAATCGAAACACGTTTATTTTTCCGGCTTCAGAATCGAATAATATCGAACAAGAAAACCGACAAAACACCCATAACGGCAAATCATTTAAATTGTACGCGAATTGCAATTGTTCAAAGCACCAATTTCGTTTATTCATAGTATGTAACGACATGGAACGAACGAAATTATCTTATGACTCATTCACCCATCCCAAACAAGCATCACCAATATACGAATCAAACCACGTCACTTACCAATTTTTGTTTAAAATTATTAAAACTCTTACCTCTCTAGCACGTAGAAGAGCGTCTAGAGCGTCGTGGACAGCTTTTTCTTCGACTATACCTCCAGACATACCGCGTATACGGCCATAGGATGGAGGGTGAGCAGTCGTTGACACGAAAAGGGTCACAATGAGCGGAAAGAAACGCGACGCAAACGCTCGCTCAATAGAGATTCCAGAAGGGGGAAGGACGCACGCGGACCCTACGGTAGGTGCAATTCAAATGGGACAGGCACAACAACTTCTCGCAATTATTATAAGAACCAGGAGTAAGTACAGACAACGTGCTGGCCCAAAAACGGTAGAGAACCCCTTGGAGAATAAGAGGAATTTGAGAAATCTGTAAAGTTTTCAGGATTCTGAAGCAAGGTATGGATCGATGGTTCCAGTTGTGACTCAACAGATGCTCGTCACATTCGAATTACAACGTACTTCGTTACGAAAATCATCGCTAGCTCCGCACTGTTGCTGTGGAAGAAATACCCTGTTGAAAGGTACGAGTTTCAATGTAATGGATGATATTGTAGCAGTAAAGTCCTAGTAGTTTTGGTTGAACATGATCGTCGTTTTGATAAAGCACACATGACCTGCACTATCTATCCTGGTCACGTGATGGTCGATACCGTAATCCCCTGATGGTTTGAGCGATGATCCTGTGATGAGTCATTATTTTCATAACGAAATCCCAATGTCTATCATTCCGTTCCCCAAAGCAAATGTATCACAATACTATTTCGACAGGGACGAAACTAGGTGTCTCACATCCTAAAGATCCATGAGCCAGGGCTGAAGTTCCGAATAAAACTACCCCAGCGATATCTTGTCTTCTCCTAATCATATACAAGCGGTTACCCCAACCGATATTTGTGTGCACGGGGTCCTATTGTTGTTGTGGTGGCATGCTCGCACTTTACCCCGCCCCGCCCATGCTATATTCCCGTACACCCCGATGCTCTGGGCAGGACGTATGCATGGCGTGTACCTTGGAGAGTGGGTAGGGCGGGCTCTTATAAGACTTGTAATGGCACTGTAATTTATTCTACTTTGTAATCCTATCATCCATTACATATTGAAGCTCCTTTTTCAGAGTTCTTATAAAACACAGAAATACAGGAATCTCTTCCAAAATAACAGCAAGGAACTAGTAACTAGTTACCTGTGACGTCTTCATGTCTTTGATGACGCAACAAGAACCATCGATTAATTGCCTACATAACTGAAGAATCTGCAAATATGGAAGTGAGCTGGTGATTAGGCCTTGGCTTAGTTGGATATCCCTACTGCTCTCGCTCTTTGATAGGCATTACCCCAAATGCTTTTACTGACAGCAAAGCTTCATGGTATAGGTCTATGAGAGCCAGTCATAATGCTTATGGTTAGAATCGGATCGGAAATCGGAATGCCCTACACTTAAACTCAAATGGCATAAAACACGTACCCTGGGTACCACCAAATACTCGATGACTGAATTTTTCGGGCCATGGGCAAATCTTGCAGGAAATGCTATTGTTTCATTCTCGGGTTGAGAATACGACCTTCTCTGACTTGATCCCCTCCCAATGGACGTCCTCATTAGCCCTTTTTGTCCCGAACNCTACTAGAACCGTTGAGGGAGTAGCATATCGTGTGATCACAGCAAGGAGTTGGAACTCTTGGCAGCTGACAGGGATGTTATATTGCCTTGTCCAGTTCCCACCACAATGGATGCCTACAACCATAGCCCACTCTGGCGTGGTCAAAAAGTAACGGATCATTTAGAACTGGAGTTATCTGTTGGGCTTAAAGATGTATAGACACAATTTTATTTGGCTCTATCGATCAAAAAGGTATATGGGGATATAGGTGCTTAGGGAGCCCGAATAGGTAGGTCCCCGTGCGCCGTAACTGTACATTTTTGCTGACCGGTCAGAATCAGAGGTTACAACGATTGTTGAATGACATCGAGTCAAGAAAGGCTTTTAAGAGGAGAACTGAAGGTTTTGGGTGCCTACTGGCTTAGCATTTTCAGAATCAAAAATATAGCTGAATCATCATGGCTCAGAGGCTATCTAGGATCGCTTAGCCAGAGGAGGGATGAGAACTAGTGAGGAGATAAACTCATTTACTAGAGGGTAAGAGTGAGGTAAAGAGGCATGAATGACAGCCGGAAGAGGAACAATTCGACACGGACGTCGCGAGGACAATAGCGGCGCGAGCGGGCAGGGCCGGGGAGTTCTGATCTCCGCTCAATTACGATGTCCCTATGGTTGCTCCTAAGTACTGATAAGGATCTACCCAGTAAAAGCCAGTCTATGGGGAAGGGCTCATGGTCCTTCGAAAAACAGACGGCTTTCATCTACTGAAGGCAAGCCAGTCGAAAGAGTTCAAGAAGAGTTCATCGGCTCGTTTAATTGTCAATTATCGATAGGTGATCGCTATCAAACGATTTGATCAGCCAATTCGATTAACCTCCCGCGCCAGTGAGACGGCCAGCCGGACATGCAAAAAGCTATTCAAAAAACCAAAGGACGGAGAGCGATGCTGATGTAGGAACTCCCACGACCCCGAAAACCTTCTTAAACCATTTATCACGGGGATATAGCGAATCTATTGACCTAGCTGTGTTCTCCCTTAAAATAATTCACTATTTCGAAAATTTATCATTATCTGAGTGACTATTTTGAGATATCGCCCGATATCTGAAATAACAAGCTTGTAGTACTATTCTTTTCGTGTCCACTACGGCGGCGTGCTTGAGCGCAGACAATACCATGCAGTATCACTCCTTATCATATGTTTTCACTGATTTCGCCAACTTATTAGATTACACCTTTACTAAATCTTTTTATATCTATCTTATTTTTATTATATGGATTTTTGTCCAAATTTCCGTGTACGCTACGTGCATTTAATGCATAATAGTAAAATAATAAAATAAATAATTATGTATATATAAGTATCACTGATTGCTCGAACCCACTGGCCGTCTACACTAAATATTCTATGGTATTCGCTTGATGACGGACCAAAATGAACCGAATTTTTTTAAGTGGTTTGACTCTTTAAATTAGGATTTAGTCCTGATTATGATTTAATTTGAACAATTGCAATTCGCTTTTTTACAGCACATGATAGAATAAAAAGTGAACTTACTTGTAAGCACTATCTTATTAGTACGACAATACAATAATAATATCACTGATAAATTTATACTGTTAATGAAACAGGCTATAGAACGAGTATTACTACAATAAATATACGACATTAATAAAACAGGTTAAGAAGTTCCATTATAGAACCATTATTATCAAAGAATCATTATAACATACATAATATGCACAAAATACAATGGAATAGCAAAACAACAAAATATTTATTGTAAACAAATGTACAAATACACATCACATAATTTATCAATAAATTTACAACGTACGATGAAGCAATTTCAATTCAATACCAAGAAAGAAAATGGGTCGTTTGGGGTCATATCTTTTTTTTTTCAAAAAAAAAAACTTACCATGAAAAAAAAAGCAGAAATAAATAAAAGTATAACAGTACCTGGATCGTAGTTAACGTAGACCATCACATTGTCCCAGGTATCGTAATTGTAATCTGCTCCGAAGCGTTTTTGAGGTGGACTCTGAAATAAGACAAATACAAATGCAGAACCTCATTCATAGTGAAATACAATATCTACTGATGTTCAAGTACGTTACAGCAGTACCATTTTCTAGGCTGTGTTCAGACTTCAACGATTCAGCCAACGTCCGTCCGTCCGTCGCGTGCGTGCTAGCGACGGCGGCGTTAGTCACTTGTTGACAACACTGGCATGCGATTCATCGGCGCCCAATGTTGTCAACACCTGTTTAGCGTCGGCGTCGCTCGCACGCACGCGGACGGACGGACGTCGGTTGTATCGTTGAAGTCTGAAAGCAGCCAAAGGAAAATTTTCATCAGTTTTAAAAACATATTTCGAAATGCAAAACGGAGAGAGAAGCTA